CGCTGCCGCCGCGGCTGCGGGGAACCGCCAGGATGAAGCTGGTGAGGAAGGACCTGGAGAAGGATAATGCGGGGCAGGTGACGCTGATCCCCGAGGAGCCCGAGGACATGTGGCACACCTACAACCTGCTGCAGGTGGGTGACAGCCTGCGGGCCTCCACCATCCGGAAGGTGCAGACCGAGTCGGCCACGGGCAGCGTGGGCAGCAACCGCATCCGCACCACTCTCACCCTCTGCGTGGAGGCCATCGACTTCGACTCGCAGGCCTGCCAGCTGCGGGTCAAGGGCACTAACATCCAAGAGAATGAGTACGTCAAGATGGGGGCCTACCACACCATCGAGCTGGAGCCCAACCGGCAGTTCACTCTGGCAAAGAAGCAGTGGGACAGCGTGGTGCTGGAGCGCATCGAGCAGGCCTGCGACCCGGCCTGGAGCGCCGATGTGGCAGCAGTGGTCATGCAGGAGGGGCTGGCTCACGTCTGCCTGGTCACTCCGAGCATGACGCTGACCCGTGCCAAGGTGGAGGTGAACATCCCCCGCAAGCGGAAGGGGAACTGCAGCCAGCACGACCGGGCGCTGGAGAGGTTTTACGAGCAGGTGGTGCAAGCCATCCAGCGGCATATCAACTTTGAGGTGGTGAAGTGCGTGCTGGTCGCTAGCCCGGGCTTCGTACGGGAGCAGTTTTGTGACTACATGTTCCAGCAGGCGGTCAAGACTGACAACAAGCTTCTCCTGGAGAACAGGTCCAAGTTCCTACAGGTAAGGAGCTAAACAGTCTCCGGAGTGGGTATAAAGAGGGTTAAGAGCTCTCTGTGATAGCAGGAGGCAGTTACAACGTGGTGGGAAGTAATTCACTTATTAGACAAAGTAGATTTCTGTCTGAGTATCATAAGGAAATTATTCTCATGCCTGCCAAACTGTAAGACAGTTATGCAAGAAGGAGGGATGGTTCCTTTGTAGGATGCCTTAATGTGGAGTAAAGAAAGTGTTAACTATTTCAGACTCCTCATAAAAGCATATTTAATCTTCAGTTAAGAGTGAAGTACAGTTTGGAAAATAGTATAACTGTGTAGTGTTAATCTGTCGTACTGCATAGCATGCATGCTTAATAACAGCTTTCTAAAGCTTTTCAAAAAAGTACCTGGATGTGGTATAGGTTGGTTAATCTTGTTGTTAAGTTTGTACTACCTAGTTAAAGGTTATGCAGACCATAGCATTCTTTTTTCCTGTTCCTTAGTCATTTCATTGATTGAGAAGGTGGGGTTTTTTTGTCTTTCACCGAAATGGTCAAACTCAGAGCCTAAAACAAGTTTTCCTTTTCATGAAGATACATTTTTTTAATTGCAGTAGGCCTGCAATCTATGCTTACAAAAGGCTGGAGGAGGGGGGAAGTGTGTCCCAATACTTAATGGTCACAAACTTTAGGAGACACATTGCACCAAGAAGCCTCCTTTCCCGTTTGTAGCAAAGTGATAATAGTAAGCGTGAAAAGTTTTAATGTTCTTCACAGCTCTGCAAGCATAGTAGCTATGCAGTTGTGCAAGGCTTGATGCTTTTGTGCTATTTGTCTGCAGTCTTAAGAGGTCTTCCTCTTCTTGAATGCTCTAAAAGGGAGAGGCTTAAGTCTTAGTTTCTCCCTAGTTTCAAGTGACCCTACCTTGGGGACTCTCTGTAACAGCTTGCTTATTTAACCTAGTCTTTGAATAAGAGAAACAGCTTTGCTGCACTTTTAAAAATACAGTTGAAGGGGTTTGGTATAAGCTTTGGGCAATCCTTTAAGAAAAGAATCAGGTAGGTTTCGAGAAACAGATAACTTCCTTGAGTTATTTTTGAAATAAATGTTATGTATAGTGGAAAGTGTTTGTGATTTGCTAGTCAAGAAAATGGTCCATTTTATTTAAAAAAAAAAAAAACCTTTGACTTTTTTTACTATAGGTCCACTCTTCCTCGGGACATAAATATGCATTGAAGGAAGCCCTCTGCGACCCAGCTGTAGCTAGCCGTCTCTCTGACACTAAGGCAGCTGGTGAGGTCAAAGCCTTAGATGACTTCTATAAAATGCTGCAGCATGAGCCTGACCGGGCTTTTTATGGTCTAAAACATGTGGAGAAGGCCAATGAAGCCATGGCCATCGATACCTTGCTGATCAGCGATGAGCTTTTCCGGCACCAGGATGTGGCTACACGTGCCCGATATGTTAAATTGGTAGATAGCGTGCGGGAGAACATGGGCACAGTACGCATTTTCTCCAGCCTTCATGTGTCTGGAGAGCAGCTTGGCCAGCTGACAGGAGTGGCGGCCATCCTGCGCTTTCCTGTTGCTGAGCTCTCTGACCAGGAAGATGAGTCTAGCTCTGAAGAGGATTGATAAGAGTGACTTCATTCCAGAGTTTATTTTCCGGGTCACGTTGAAATGACATTAAAGGCCCTCCCTTCCTAAATACTGTGTGCAGATGTGCCATGACGTGTAATTTAAGTTTTGATACTGTTTCTTACAACATATGGCTCTGCTCACTAATGGGTATCTGTTCTATGGTAATGATTATTGGTATACTGTGCATTGGAGCTGACTGGTTTTTCAAGTTACAACCTGGACCTCCAGCAGTTCAAGAAACTAATTTAACTCCCTGATGCTCATTCAGCATGTTGAGGCAGACTGGCAGCTGTTTTAAAATGTGTATGAAAAGATAATAAACTAAGAGAGAGAAAATTATGTCAGACTGTCTATTTCTGTTCAAATACTTGCAAAGAGTATTGCAGAACAAATGTAAATGTAATGCAAGACCTATCAGAACTGTGCTTGATCCATTCTTCCTAAGATGTGGCAAAGGAGTAGGATGAAAATAGTCTGCTGCAGTTTTTTTGTGATGTTATGAGTGTAAGCACTTAAATATTTCTGTGAAACACTATAAGCAATCTTTCAGAAACCAGACCCTTTAAATTAACTGTTTCCTCCCTCATATGATAGTAGATTCAAGACAAATTGTGAAGCTCAGTGCACCCATTTCAGTTATATTTTTGAATGCTGTTATCTTGGGACATTATCCTGAAGGCTAACAAGGTATGATGTATCTTGTTGTTGACTGTGTTCTGATAAATTGGCATTGAGATTATTAAGCACCCAGTTTTGAGGAGATACATGAAAAGGTTTACAAAATCAGGACCCTAGTTTCCATTAGGAGTCTTTTGACAACAGATATTTTAAGTAAGTTCATAATCTGGTATTTTTTCTGTTTGTGTACCTCTTTAAAAACATATTTAAGCTGATAAATGATACAGAAGTAAAGATTACAAATTTATAAATTGCACTTCAGTTTAAGATAATGACACTGTAACAATCAAAATTACTTTTCCAATTATTTGATCTGCTCAAAGTATTGAGAGCTACAATGAGTTTTTTTTCTTCACCAGACAATAAATCTTAGCCTAAGGAAGCAGAAACTGCTTTGAGATTCTAACATACCTGCAAGGGGATTGTTCAATTTAAATCAATGTTTGATGGTGTAGGCTGTGCATGTAAATAAGCATGCCTTTTTCAAATGTAAGGATTGTAACCAGGGAACAGGAGAGACTTGACAAAAATAAATTTAATTTAAGAAAGCTGTGGAAGACTTCTGAAATGTGGAAAGGGACATAACAATGGAAGATTAAAAATAAAAACACCAAAACTATTAGTCTGGGTAGAATAATTTTTAAAAAAGCATTTTTAATGGTATTCACATATGTTGATGGGTGCCAGCTCTCTGAATTTAAAATTATCTATTGCTGGCTGAAACATCAGCCTAAACTTGATAGAGAAGTACTTTTGAGTTAAAAGTAATCTCCCTTTTTCGCATCATCCACACAGTCTAACGAATGTATGAACAGAACTTGCATTACAGCTGTACTTTATTAAGATTTCGATTCTTCTGTCACTGACCACAAGCCAGCCCGGTTGTTTAGAGTCAACTTGCACAGATGAACTGTGTTATTTGACTGTTACATTTTTGTCTTGCATGGTGTTGAGTGCCACAAGTCATCGAATGTTCAGGTAAGCTTCCTTCAGCAGTTAGGACTGGTTAAATTAAAATGACTTTTATTTTCTTTTAAATTCTGCCTAAATTGATTAGACACCTTGCCAGCTAGAAAGCAATCTGATTCCTGCTGTATATGGACTTAAATGTAAAGAGCATATGAAACAGGTAGAAGAATCTAACATTCGATAAATATTACTGATATGCAGCAAATTATGGCTTTAAACAGGTTCATAATGTCTAAACAAAGTTGTTAACTTGTTTAAGATAAGCTGTTATATTAGTATTTACCTTCTCATGAGTAACAGCAATTTTTTGCAATTGTACACAAATGATACTTAAAATTGTACTACACTGGGAAGTTTTCAGTTTAATTTTCACCAAACTGAGAGACAAATCAAATTGTTCCTTGGTTGTGGAATGGTTTCCTATTTTATTAGACCAGATTGATTCCAGTTATTCCAATTTAAACAACAGAAATTATGAAGAGTTTTTGCTATGTACTCTAAGAAGATTACAATGGCAAGTATGTATTTTTTGCTTGTGGCGGTGTATCACCAAGGAAAAGAAGAAGGCTTTTTGCTGTTTATTTGGGGTTTTTTTAAAAGTATAACAGCAAACGTCTGTTAAGAAAATATGTTTGTAGTGATTCTTGGAATTATTTACACTTAGAATTAAAATTCTGCACTGACTTCACAATTTATGGGTGTTTTTCTTTTTTTAGCTATTGCTATCATGGCAGTAAGTGTCTGAAATAAATGCGCATCTAGTTGCCCAAAGTATAGAAGGGTGGAATTTTTTTTTTGTGTGTGTTTTTGTAGTAAAATAAATACACAATCACTATGTAGACAAATGCATCCTGTTTCAGGAAACAGCTTAAGGGCTTGGTATTGAAAGTAGGCTGTGTTCAGTAGTTACAGATGCTTGACTTGGCAAAGTTCCAGGGTTGTTGGTATCTTTTACATTTGAAGGAATTTTGAACAGTTGAAAAGTCCATATTGACAAAGATGTTTTCTTAACACAGACTTTAATGTCTGTGTATAGATAACACTTGCACAGAAGATGCATGTGATCTGCAGATCAAATAAGTGCTAGAGCCATGGGAAAATATTTTTTTGTGTCTTTTCCTTGGAACTAAACATACAGGAACTAAAAACTGTCCACACTGTGAAGAGCGTTCTCTTGCACCATAAAGTATTGAGTAATGTTGTGCCCCAGTTTAGTTTCTGATTAAGTTCTGAAATAATTCTGTGAATTAGTAGCATAGTTTATCTTCCAATTTTTCAGTTTTAAAAATAAGTGAATACTCATTGTAGGACTACTTAATGTTTGCTACGTTTGGTAGGAAGAAAGTTTTAAAAAGTATCATGAAATCATCTTGATCTTGAACCCTGTTGTGCTCTTCAAAGACACTAATTTCATTAATTTAGATAATAAAGCCTGTGTTGCAAATTCATACTTTGTAGCAGGCCCCAGTTTGTTAGTTTTGTCAACTTTGGCATTTAAATCCAGTTACATAATTTTTTTGTTGGTTGTTTACCAAATAAAGTTTGGTGTAAAACATGAGGGCACCACCAGCAACTGACCAAAATAATCCTACTGGTTATAAAGCAAAATAAAAGATAAATCTTTTGGTAAAACTGTAAAGCATTTAGCAGTATTTGACCTAGGGAATTCCTCATCTTCCTCCTCCTGTCTTCACCCTCGTACATTATATGAGTAAAATGCTGGTAATAAATGGTCTTTTGACCTCTCCCTGACCACCAGTGTAACAAGAGCCCATAGCTCTTCAGCTTACTTTGTGTAACTAGCCGATGTTTGTAAAGCCATGTAAATGTCTGAAGTAATTTTCCTTTGCTACTGTTCTCTCAAAGGTTAAGTAGCTCTGAATATGAAAACAATCTTGCTTACCCTTTGAAGATTTCTTAGTTTAACTATTGAGCTGCTGACCTTGGTTTGCCTTTTTCTGAGAAGGTATATTGTAGCTACCTTCTCATTTAACTAATTTATAGCTTGTGCCTCTCCAGTTTCTTTCTGGAAGCTGCATTACTGATCCATAAAATGTGCTCAGTTTCATAAAGTTTCATGCTTATGCTGTTTTATCTGAAGCCACATTTGTGCAGTGTGTGGTCTATTGCTTCTACAAAAGATCTAAGAAAACAATGTTTTAAATGTGAAATTTCAGTTAGGAGGTCTGCAACCAGGAATCCTTGTTTGCAACCAAAATTGGAATTTCTGCAAGACAGATAATAACCAAAAAAAAAAAAAAAAAAAAGAAAAAGAATGAAGGGGATGACTTAAGAAAACTAATCTATGTACTTCTTAGATATGGCAAAACTTCGGACTTGAATTTTTTTTTTCTCGCTCTCTGATATACCAGTTACTTTTATCACTTCCTTTTTTTTTTTCTTTAGTTTTTTAAGATGTTTGGTTTAGGTGCAGCTGAGATGGTACAGGTTGATGACTTAAAGAAAAATGTCTCTTCTTCAAGCTGTACTAATACAGGGAGCAGTACAGGTCTGGGAGTCATTCCCCTCTCAGTTGTTCAGTATACACCTGCATGTTGTTACAAAGTGCTGATAAAAGTTTTGATGCTGTTAGAACTTAGGATTTCTCAGTTTTGGTTAGATTTTAGGAGATGGTGGGAACAGAAGAGAGACATAGCATTGTGGTAGATTATTTTACGGTATCTGTGTTTCTCCTATAATGGCTACAACTTGCTGAATACTGTTGTATTCAGATTTTGTGTAGGAAAACAGTACTTTGCAAACTCATTATTCTGCTAACTTAGGGTCAAGAAAATGCCTAACCATCTGAGTCTTGTGATTATTATTATAATTCTTAATTCAGGCTCTGACATGGGTTGAGCCTGGGCTTTTTCAGCAGTGGAGAGTGTAAACATAGGCTGTGGAGCTTCTTGTGTGACAGTTGCCCAAAGAACTGCTTAATAAGTATCGTGTTTAGTCCTGCCAGATTTTTTGACTCAAGTAGGGCATTGACTTTGATTTGAGGATAACTGCTTGCATGATACAGAATATAAAGGAAAATGTCTCCAGTCTAACAACCAAACTATAGGGCATATTCTCTCTAAACTCTGAACTTGACTTTTTTAGAAATGCAGTATCACTTTTATATGAAAATGTTGTCTCTTAAAGTGTCTTAGACTAAAATAGAGTGTGAGGAAAAGGTCTCTGAAATAATACTTGTTTATTCTGTTGTCTGAAAATAATTTTTACTCTTGTCCCTCTTGTCCCAGTTGAGGGCTGTGCAAGAAGCAGAAGGGGTTGATACCAGAGCAGCGCTTGCTTCCAAGTCAGTGTCTTCTGGGAAATGCAACATGAAGCAGCAGCTCTCAAACACTGCCAGCTCTTGTCAGATTTTGCTATATCGATCTCTAATTTATTGCCCTCTTTTTGGGAAATGGTATGTTCACAGCTAGCGTAATTACTGTCATGCTGCTCTAGTAATTGCTTAGAAGTCAAATTAGGGCTGATCATGAATCCTATGATAAAATAGCTGTTCCATTAGAGAATGTTAATTAGTTGAAACCAGTCCTCCTTTTTAGGAATGTACATACCAGACTTGATGGGAAGTTTTTTTTCTCTGATCCAAAATGGAATTTCTAATCAAAGCCAAGCCTAGAATAGGAAAGAGTCTAGGGATTTAAGGATTCATATGGGACAAAAGA